TTCTGCCTCTCAAGCCCTGGGATTAATGGCGTGTGCCACTACGCCCGGCAAGTAAATCCTTTAAGAAGGTAGAGAAAACACATTTAATGTCCTTTGAGATAGAACAGAGTTTTAATCTTATTTCATAGATGAATGTATCTAAAACCTACAGAAGCCAAGAGTCTAAACCTAAACAGGACAGCTGATTCAAATAGGAAAGAACTAAACCCAAGTTAAAACCCAGGGTCCAGAGTTCATCTTCAGTCTCTGAACACACCTTTAAAAAAAAAAAAAAAAAAATCAAGGTCTCACTTTTCCCTACCACCTTACCTCTAACCTTCACTCCTATAACTTGACCTAAATTGTATTAGGGTCACCAAGGCTACCACAGCCAAATTCAAAGGCCACTTCTCAGACATTTTTCTGAATTTTGCTGCATCTAGCGCCAAGTAATTCTTTTATATTCTCTTCTGTCCCATTTCTGTAGTTACTGCACTTTTTCATTCTTATTTTTCTCCTGCCATAGATTACTTTGTAGACATCTTATTACATGTCTTTATCTAAATAAACAACTCCTCTGAAGTTCATCATGAAAATTGTTGTCAAGTAGGTCATTTAAGACTAGTGTGGTGGCACACACCTTTAATCCCAGCAATCAGAAGGCAGAGGTAGGCAGATCTCTGTGAGATGGAGGCCAGCCTGGTCGAGGCCAGCTGGGGCTACACAGAGACCATCTCAAAAAGAAAAAAGAAAAAAAAGGACTAGTTTGCATCTATTTCTATAATGCTTCCACTTGCCATTTGATGAATCCATTCTACTTTAGGCTTTTTATCACTTCTGGCCTCCATCAACAGCAACTGTTGCCTGATCTTACACAGTATTCATTTCTTTCAGCATTTATGTCCCTAAGGGTAGACATAGCTGGAAGAATACTAAAGTGATCTATAGATCAGGACATGAGATGATACATGTTTATTTCAAAGTACAGGAGAGCTAAAAAGAGTTACCACCAAATATCCTGTATGTTTATTTAAATTCACTTCATTAAAAGATAGTAACTTGGAAGGCTGAGGCAGGACAATGTGCATTACAGACTAGTCTGGTTAATGAGCCTGGCTCCAGAGAGGGAAAAGCTAGTTCATGCCCACAATCTTGGCATTAGGGAGGTTGAGGAAGGAAGACCATCAATGAGAAGGCCAACTATGGAATGAAACCCTATCTCAAAAATAAATAATTTTAAAAATTACAACATTTGTATGTGGCATGTAGTGTGTGAACCTGTATACAGAGAACAGAGGATGTCAGGAGTCTTCCTCCACCTTTTTTTTTGAGACAAGGTCTCTCACGGAACTGAAAAGGTGCCCCTTTCTCTACCCCACAATACTGGATTATAGGCATGTGCAGCCATTGCTGGCTTTTATGTCCGTGCTGGGCATTTGCACTCAGACTCTCTTACTTTCACATCAAGCACTCTTACCCAGGCTCACCTCCCTAGCCCCACAATTATTTTCTATATTTGAACCATTATGTCTTTTTTTATTGTGATCAACTGGACGTTGAGTCCATACAGTAATTTTCTGCAACAAATTTCCTCAACCTAATTATACACCTTTGTTTCCACCTTCTGGTATGAACTTAAAGATTACAATGGAACTTTTAGGGGGCAAAAGGCAGTGCTGGGGATTGAACCTAGGCCTTATATATTATGCATGCCATATAAGGACTCTACTTAGTATTATTAAAGACTAAATGCCTTGGTACTGAGAACCAGAAACCATATTCCTCTGATTCAGTGGGTCTTGCTAAAATTAAAACAATCTTTAATGTTTGTTGAGTAAAACTGAAAATTAAGCAGGGTCTGGTGATGCACATTTAATCTCAGTGCTGAAAAGGCACAGGCAGGTGGATCTCTGTAAGTCTGAGGCTAGACTGGGTTCTAGGCCAGCCAGGGCTTCCTAGTAAGATCCTGTCTCAACAAAGCAACCTGAAAATTAAGGAAACTTTTATGAAAATAAATCTCACAACGTGTATTATATAAATATAGTCTTCTGAAGGTTACGTGCCTCACTACTTTAATAGGTAAATAAAAGGGAAACAGGATGTTACTTTGTTCTAATATAGCATTCATCAGTTAACCTCAATTGTGGGCCTATTCTTTGGCATTTTTAACCCTTAATCACTCAATAATGCATAATAAATAACAAAAGCCTAGTAAAGAAAAACAAACTAAAATGGGAAATGATAAAATTACTAGATGGCATGCTACAGAGCAGTATTAAAAAGAAAAAGTCAAGCTCCCCCTGTAAATGCTCACTGTACTGCTTCTGTCACATTCAGTACCTAGCAGTACCACACAGCATGAAGTATTAGTCTATCACACTGGCAGTTACAATTTCAGACCCTTGGGTAGTAATATGCCAACTATATCTACCAATGAGACAAAAATTGCCTGCTGAACCTCAGTTATAGTCAACAGCCCCTCATTTGATTAGCTCTGCCAGCAAATGCATGCAGACACAAACCTTAAAACATGGCTGATATTCTGTTAATCTCTAGGGCAAAATAAATATAACTGGCACAGAGGTAAGTTTGTATTTAGTTTTAGGGGGAAAAGAGAAAATTTATTAAAGTTACTCTCAAAAGAATACTTTGATCCACAAAGATGCTTGGACTGATACACTTGCTTGGAGATACTGCTTGGAGGATAATTTCTTCTACCAGTCTCTTAATATTACTTAAGTTAAAATGCTATGACTCAAGAAACTAACATTAACTCAGACTTCTAAGCAACAATTAACACAGACGGAGATAAGTTTTCATGGGGTTACTCAATTCATAAGGTGCCAAGTTTTACTTTACTGAAATCAAAGTGTTAGTCGTAACTTAATCAGATACAACCTCAAGACCTCTTTCACTGTAGGAAGAATCCAGTTCTAAACAAATGTATGAGATTAATTTCTTTTACAGTTTTTAACTCATGACCATAGTACTGCATAAAGAGCACAGAAACATATTACCTAGATAACCCACACATTTGGGGGTGGATCGCTTATGGACACAGTATAAATTTCAGATATTTCACTGGTAAGTGGTGGTAGAAAGGGAGCTGAAAGAAGGCAGAAATTCTGCATTTTCATTTTGGCTAGAAACTGACCCCAGGGTTATGTACTATATAGAGCATTAAGAAATTGTTAAGAATAAAAGTCCAGTATGTAAATGTAGAAGCAGCGAGGGGGAAAAAAAAATACTCAAGCATCCAACGACTCACCATATTCTGAGAATATTGCTTGGAGAGGGTAATTTCTTCTACCAGTCTCCATTATTTGTACTTCTACTAACCACTAACCACAATAATACACTCTTCACATCTTAAATTCTGCAGCAAGCCTTTGAGAGGTACTACTATATTCACTCTTGCTTTATAATGGTCTACCAATAATTTCTCAAAATTAAAAAAAAAAATGTTCTTTAAGCACTCAGTCTTACTATGTAACCTAAACTGGCCTAGCACTCATGACTGTCTTACCTTGGCCTCTGTGTGCCACCACAAACAAGACATAATCCATTCTTACACCTTGCAACACTTTAACCTTCACATGTAAAAATGTTCAAACACTGAAATCAAGCTAAAGAAAAACTGCCAGGTGCTGTGCCTTACTACTCACCATAAAACTACAAGAACACAGTGGCAGTTTGCTGTTTAAAGCATCGCCGTTAAGTTTAGAAAGTCTAGGTTTGAATACAGTACCATCAATAACTTCTGTGTCATCTTGGTCAAACTACCTCAATCTTTTCGACTTCATGTCCTGATTTGTAAAAACAAAGATAAGGGTCTCCTCAAAGACCCCCAGGAATAAGCTAGGATAATGTATATATATAAAGGGCTTGTGATCAGTCCACACACAAGCTTATCACCCCCTCCAAAAAACAACCCCCAACTGCCCCCCCCAGGTATTCTGAAAATACCATTCCAGAAAAGGTGAGAATTACTCTTTGACTATATGTAAAACTCTCTCTACTTCTGATTTTTAGAGAATCAGTGCATTTGGGGCAAGTCAGAAAAGATGCTGCAGTGCATCTGTGACACACACCTAAAAATGGCTCCAGTCAAAGCAGCATCTTAATGACCAATATGGAAGCTTCAATCTACTTTAAAATGCTGAAGGTTGGTCGCAACGGGCGCTTAATACTACCCTATCTGTCACTTCTATTTGCAGGACTAGACTATCAAAGCCCTTAATCAAGCATCCCGATTCTTCTGGAGCATTCCAAAAGGAAAATCTTAACACCCGAGCCGCCTACTGTACAATTCCAAGAACCCTGCGGGGATACGAATTTAGGAAACTAGGCTGATGACCAGCCAATGCGGAAATCCGGGTAGCTTTAACAGCCAGGAATCACTAGGCAGGTCGGAGCCCCCCAAAAGATCTTGCACAAACTCCAAACAAACGCACATCCCTTTAAAGGGATTAGAAGCACGCCTTACGCGTAAAGAAAGCAAAACCACAAAGAGACCTCCCTGGCTCCCGTGCTCCTCGGGAAATCCACCCTTGCGATACTCAAAGCTCTCCTGAAAACCAGGCAGCAGGCGAGTGGGCTTCTCGCTATGGGGGGGGGGGGGATGGAGAGGCCTAGCGTAAGGACGACCCGAATCCTCCTAGGAGTTGGGCAGCGCGTCCCTAGCGGAAGTAGGTTGGTCCCGGTTCCCCGGAGAGCCTCCGCAACCCGCCTCGGCCCTGGTGGCTCTCTGCAAGCGCGAGCATCGCTACGGGCGCATGCACTGACATAAGGGTCCGGAGCCGCCGAGGGGGACCAGCCCCACACCGCCCGGCCTGCGCCACCCAGGCCGCCGCGCCGAACACCACATGGGCGGTCCCCGCGTTCCCACGCCGGCGCTGCCTGGAGGCCCAGGCGGAGGCGCCACGGGCCGGAGGCCTCCAGTGCGGCCAGCCCCCCGCACCCCGCGCCCGGCGTCCTCCAAGGGGCCTCTTCTCACCGCCCGACGCCCTCGCTCTCCTTACCCGCCAGGGTGAGTCGTCTGCACGCTTCCAGGGGCTCACTGGGCTCCGATCCGACGCAGGAGAGGGAAGCCGAAGCCCGACGGACCGTCCGCAGGGCCACAAGACCAGGAAAGCCCAAGCCACGGATGGACAAACCGCCAAAGCACTTGGGCTGCCTCCTGAGAGGGCGAGAGCGAACAGAGAAAAAGAAGCAAGATGGCGGCTAGCCAGCCCCTACGTACTACGTCATGACGCCGCGCACGTAAGACAAATCTCAAGACTGCCCTCCTGCCGTTGAGACGGAGGGATCACGTGACGACTCCGTGGCGGAGCGGCGAGGGCAGCACTGCCTCCTACTGGACGGAGGGAGTTCCTGCAATCCGAGCTCTCGAGGCTGGAGAAAGTCACTTTTCAATGGGGAAGGGTCCTGGTTCTGGAGTTGAGCAGGCTACAGCTAGGTCTGCCGATATTGTGGAGGTGGAGAGCTTTTGCAATGTGATGGCAGTTAAGAACTTTGCAACAGGAAAACTCTTAAGATACAAGAATGGGGGAGGTGAGCAGGAGTCTCCCATCCTGCCCCTATGGGTGCCCAGGATGGAAGTCTTTGTTTTCCAAAGTTTTCACGTTCCTATAACTTTTGTGGCCTTATGTTACCTTGCTTAATTATCACATGTACCTTTTACTTAATTGTCACCTATGTGCTGTTTTTGCCTTTTGTTTGCATTTCCCCACACATAAGTATAAAAGTCCCCTAAAACATGAACAGGAGGTTTGAGGTTTGACTCCTTTATTCACGGTGTCAGGCCCACTAACGTCAAATTAAACTTCGTCTCACCCGACTTTGGCTGTTGGTCTCTGATTTTTCCATAACACCTCCATGAAAAGTGCATTGAGGTAGCTGATGGATGAGCCTGTAAATGTGCAACCCCTATGTTGCTAGAATGCTCTTAGAGAAGTAGGGAAGAGGGAATGGTGTGGTGGTTTGAGAAGATTCGAGTTACCTCGGGGTGAAAAAGTAACCCAAGTGAACCAAGTGTAGCTGGGGGTGGTGACACATGCCTTTAATCCCAGCACTCAGGAGCCAGAGGCAGGCACATCTCTGTAAATTCAAGGCCAGCCTGGCCTACATAGTGAGTTCCAGACCAGCTGGAGCTACAGGGAGACCCTGTCTCAAAAAGACTAAAAAAATAAAAGTAACGCAAGTGCGAGAAAGGATAGGCCTGCTTTGCAGAGAGCGCTTTTGACATCTTTGATTATGGACGTGAAATGTGGTATTCATTTATTTTTTTATACTATTATTATTTGGCCTTTTTTGAGACAGGATCTCCCTGTAGCCCCAGCTGGCCTGGAACTCGCTGTGTAGACCAGGCTGGACTGGATCTCACAGAGAGGTCGGCCTGCCTCTGCCTCCTGAGTGCTGGGGTTAAAGGTGTGCGCTAGCACGCGGGAGCTTTCATTTCTTTATATGATTTCTCTGGCAGTGTTTACCTCTTGATCCAACTATCTATAGAGAAAATGAACAGTAAGGTTCATCCATGCAGATTTTTTACCAGATAAGTGCTGTGTAGAGGCTTGAGAACATCAGATGTGAGAAACTATGAGGATGATGATTAAGATTGTAGCTCAGCATCATGCAGTATGCTTGCCTAGTGTGTGCAGGGCTCTGTGTTTGATCCTACTTTTCCAAAGGAAAGATAGTGTATGAATGTGTGATATTTGTACACTTTATGAGATTTCAGTGCTGTATGATACATTCAAATTTTTCTTGCTATGTGGCCTGGTCTGAGTAAACTTCTCTACTAGCAACTTGTATGTTTATGGGATTGCCAGCACAATATTAAAATAACAGAGCAGTAAATTACAGGCAAGTTTGTTTTACACTTTGTTTTGCGTTGCTGGAGCTCGAACCCAGAGCCTTCCACGTTGTTAGGCAAGAGTGGTACTACTAAACTATACCCCTGGCCCCTTAGTGATAGCTTGAAATGGAAAATACTGGCTTATTCATAATAGCACAATTGTCATAGAAAGGCCTTTGTCTGTCCCTAGAGAAAACAGAAGTATCACCTTAGTGAATTTCCCACAATCTTTTAGAATCAGTCTTCAGTTTCCTGATCTTGAGATACCTTTCTTGAACACCTCTAACAGTCTAATGAGCTTACATTATCCCAGGTCATGACACTTACATGTACAAGCAGAATATTAATATGTTTCTAAGAGCTGTAACTTGTACCCCTCAGTGTTTATAACTGCAAATTTAGTGCATTTTCTGTGTAGCTAAACCTATTTAGGAAACCAGGAGCATTGTCAGAGGATGCTTGGTGAGCACAGATTCAAAATAAGTAGAGTTATATGTAAGAACATTTCTTGATTTATCTATTTCCACAAGAGGATGATTTTGGTCCAAAGGTTGAAATATATACTCAGTTTCCCATGGTTGCAATTTTCTTCATCGATTGCTAATACAGTAGGGACATCCTGCTCTGCTTTTGATTTAGGCTCCTTTTCTCCTTGACAGCACTTGGATGGCCACTGGCCCTGAAGTGCCCCTGTTTGTTCCTTCTTCTGTTTCCATGGCTACCTCTTAGCAACATTCTTTCAATAAAAATCAAGTTACAGTGAAGTCAGGTCAGTTTGTGCTTTAAAGATGAATTCACTTATTTCTACTCTTACCTACTATATATGATCTTAAAGTTTAACTCAGCAATCTCATTTCTTTTATTTCTCATTTCTTGGGGTGGGAGGAGAAGGGAGAATCGGACTAAAATCTCCATGTATTAGTTCAGTGTCTAAAGCCAAATACTACTTTGGGGGGCTGGTGAGATGGCTGAACAGGTAAAGACACTTGCCACCAAGCCTGATAACCTGAATTCAATCCCCAGGACTCACATGGCAGAAGGAAAAAAACCAATTCTCAAATACACATGCATGACATGGCACCAGGGTACACACACACACACACACACACACACATACACACACACACCAAAAACAAACCATAATTCATTAAACTCTTACTCTGTGGGCTGGAGTTGGCTCAGCGGATAATGCACTTGCAGTGCATGCCTGAGAGCTGGGATTTGGATCTCCAGAATCTGCATATGCTGAGTGGGCTTGGCAGCTGCCTGTAATTACAGCCCTCAGAAAACAGCCACAGGGGATCCCTGGAGGAATCCGGCTAACTATACTAGCCTTCCTGTGAGCTCTGGGCTTGACTGAGAGACCCTGAGAGAACAAGGTGGAGAGCCATGTAAGAAGACTCTGAATGTCAATCTCAGATCTCCATGTTCATGTTGTACACATGTGAACATGCCCACCACACACACACACACACACACACAAACACACACACACACACACCCCACACATGAATTACACATGAAGAACAATAAAAACCCCTTACTTTGTCTTCAGTTATTTGTACCACTCCTAATATCTCAACAGTGTAAATAAATTAACTGCAACAAAGATGTTTTCATGGAAAATTAAATGGAAACTTGTCATTTAATTTCCAGTGTGACTTTTTAAATAATAATTTTAAACTAACACTGGGTTTTCAGTTGGTGGTATGAAATCAGGCAAACTAGTTTTTAAACGAAAACAAATTGACTCTCCAAACACTATGACCCATTTTCTTTGTGATTACTCAACATTATTTGCTTAATAATTTTTCTAAACTCTTACTTTTCCAGAAAACTGTAGGTGCTAAAAATGTATGGAACAGAAGGTCACAAATAAAAGAACTGGTGAAGCTATGCATGGTAGATGGTGCATGTCTGCATCCCAGCACTTGGAAGATGAGACATGGAGGATTGTAAGCTCAAGGCCAGCTTGGGCTACATAGCAAGACCCTGCTTCAAACAAACCAAAGCAAGATGTTGCACTTTATTAGTAATAGTATTTCTTACATGTTTTGTGCATAGTGATAATTTTGATTTTTATTTTACCAGTGATTCAGCAAATCATACTTAATAAAACTGTGAAACATGGTAAACATGATATAATTAAAACCACAATGTCCAAACACTGTATGAAAATGTAGCCTACCAGGTGTGGTGGAGTATGCCTTTAATCCCAGCACTGGGGAGGCAGAGGCAGGTGGATCTCTTTAAGTTCAAGGCCAACCTGTCCATGTAATGAGTTGCAGGCCAACAAGGAAGACCCTGTCTCAAAAAGCCAAAAAAAAAAAAAAAAAAAAAAAAAAAAAAGAAAATGTAGCCTCATTTTGACCACAGATGTTCTAAATTTGCAGGTGAAGATAAAAATGATATCAGTGTTTTACAAAACTACTTTTGGGGCTTGAGTAATGGCTTAGCAGTTATCAGTGCTCCCTGTTCTTCCAGAGAACCTGAGTTTGGTTCCCAGCACCCACATCAGGCCGCTCACAACTGCCTGTAATTCCAGAGGAGTTGTAGGGGATATGATGCCCTCTTCTGGACTCCATGGACACCTGTACACACATGGCACACACACACAAATGCAGACACATACACATAAATGCAAATACAATAAAAATAAAAAAGAAACCACCTTTTTGCAAACTTGTAAGTTATATACTAAATGTTACAATGCAAATACTATATATGAAACTTTTTTATGTGTATGAGTGTATTGCCTGAATGTGTGTAAGTTGTGCAGTGCCCATGGATGTCAGAAGAAGGCATACAATTCCCTGGAACTGGAGCTACAGATGGTTGTTAAACACCATGTGGGTGCCGGGAAACAAACCTGGGTCCTCTGCAAGAACAGTCAGTGCTCTTAACTGCTGAGCCATCTCTCCAGCCCCAAAAATGCTATATATGAAAATTTATATTTAAAGTAGGATTTTTTGTTGTTTTTGTTGTTTTGTTTCTGTTTTCTTCTTTTTTTAAAAGTAGGATATTTTTATTCACCAATCTATTAAGTTCACAAAGTTTTTATAATTGAATAAAAGATACATTTTGATTAAAACTATTCATTTTCTATGTCATATATTAATAACATCTGGAGTTTTGGGGATTTCCTGTCCACCCAGAATTTTCCTAGCTTTTTCTTATTGAGAGAAGCCAAGTTCTTAGAGCTCCAAGAACCAAGTCAAGAGAGTGTGGTGTTGTTAGTGAGCAGAAAACATTATCTGGGGTATTTAGTCATTCAGGGATGGAGGAAAAGGAGAGGGAAGGAAGAAGAAAGGGAGGAAAGAGATGAAGGAAACTTGGTTGGGTCACAGTTTTGCCTTAGTTCTGTGAATTCACCTGAGACAGGACATGATCGGTGGTGTGAGGC